AGGAAGCCAAAGATGGCGAGGACTTGGGTGCCGAGCACTAGGCACCCGCATCAGGGAAACCACAGATCCAACCAACCCTGTGGGAGTAAACCAGAAACGTGGCTCAAGACCTATAAAAATACGCGGATACGCTGACCCCAGAGCACGGCCCTGACTATGTGCATGCGCTTTTCTCTTTTAAGTCATTTCCTTGGCACAAAGTGTTTTCTGAAGAAAAATAAAAAGAACTGAAAACCATCAAACACAAAACAATGCAGAGAAAGTAAAAACCATCAAACACAAAACAATGCAGAGAAAGTAAAAACTACGACATCCATGTGATCTTATGGCCACAGATGCTGTAACAGTGCTACTGAGAAGAGCAAGGAATGTGGACGCATTGATGCCACTGAAATGGACACTTTAAAATGGTCAAGGGGGTGTGTGGGTGGCTCAGTCGGTTAGGCGTCCAACTTCAGCTCAGGTCATGATCTCATAGTTCCCTGAGTTCAAGCCCCACATCAGGCTCTGTGCTAACAGCTTGGAGCCTAGAGCTGCTTCGGATTCTGTGTCTCCCTCTCTCTCTGCCCCTCCCCTGCTCATGCTCTGTCTCTCTCTCAAAAATAAACATTAAAAAATGTTTTTAACTTATTTTTAAAAATAATAAATAAAAATAAAACGGTCAACATAGTGAACTTCACATTATATACATTTTACCACAATAAAAACAACGCTAAGAAGAAAAGTCAAACCCAAAGTGTACGCACACTACAATGACCCACATCTGCACGTGCATGTGTTTCCTGCAAAGCAGGAATGGTCCTCACAAGAACGCAGGGTGCAACATATGTGGACGTGACGGGTGTATCTTTGCGGAGGGGACTCTTGCTTACGGCATCTAAAATTCACCCGGAAAAGGACCGATGACGTCCTCGTTCCATGATCTTCTGAAAGATGGGGTCTTGGAGAAGCTTCAGGGCCGTGTCATCAGTGCATTAAGGATACTCTGATCCCCTCAAGTCTGGACCTTAGAGCAACGGCCTTCTTAAACGGCCCGAGGTGAAAACATCACTCACCAGGGCCGAGGGCTGGCTGCTGGGCTCGGCCAGCCGGGGCCCGAGCCAGGCCGTCCTTACTGCTCTGTGTGGGGCCCACTACACCTCTCTCAGGGCCACGCAAACACGCTTCCTGCTTGTCACTCGACTTGAAAAAGCTCTCCCGCCCCGGTTTCCACCCACTGTCCACTCACGGTGGCCTCTGCCCCTCCCCTGGGCTGCAGGCAAAGAGCCTTCCTGCTCCCAAATGAACAAACACTTGCTGGGGGAGCCAGCATGGCGGGAGGTGGGACTCCTGTGGGACCTCAGGACGCCCTTAGGCAGGGGTCTCAGATCTGTCTGTCGCCAGAGACCAGTTCCCCAGTAAAGTGCTCCCACATGTAAAAGCACACGGTGTCAGAGAGCCTGCTGTCATCCCAGTGCCCGAGCGTGTCACCGTTAGGGAGAAGGGAGACGGAAATAAGCTGCAGCCCGGCTGCGAGGCATCAGCTTCTGTCCGAACTGCTGCACACCTCTGAGCTTGAAGGCTGGCTGCCGGCTCTCCCGCTTACTGGTGGGTTGCTGTCACCAGCAGACCCAGGTGAACCCGCCAGCAGCCCTGAGAAAGCAGGTGTTTGCAGCTGGATTACTTCCCCCAGGGCACAGCTGTTGGGTTCATACCCCAGGACCTTAGACCATGAGCTTATTTGAAGACAGGGTCTTTGTGGATGTAAATCATTAAAATGAGGTCACTGGGGTGGGCCCTCGAGCAAGCTGACATGTCCCCACGGGAAGAGAGAAGGCTGAGTCAGGGTGGAGGTACAGGTGAGGACAGGACCACCACAGGCTGACGGCAAACCAGCAGGCGCTGGTGCGGCTGAGACTGCATGTGGCCACCTGGTCTGTGGGGCTTCATCCTGGCAGCCCCCGAGGCTGATGTGGTGGCCAAGGTAACCCTGCCCTAGTGAGGACTGTGAGGAAGCCCCTTGTTATCAAATAGCAGGAAGGTACTCAGCCTCCCCCCAACCCTGCCCCACCTGCCGGGACAAGCCACACTGCCTCTCCCAGACCCCAGGCCTCACCTGTCACCTCCTCGGGCAAGTATGATCAGAGAACCTTCCCCAACCCCTGCCCTTTGCTGGCCGCCCCCCATACTCCAAACTCACAGACACCTGACGGCTCACACTGTCACTGCTCTCCCACCCCACCGCCTGCCCCGCTGTCCCCTTCCTGCCAGGCGGCACCGCCACTCACTCGGGTCCAGACCCAGCCCTGTTTCCCCACCCCTACATGCACTCCACCGGCCAGCCCTGAGCACTGCACCACGAGTGACAGCTGTGCCACGCCCCCTCTGCTGCCTGTTGGAGGCTCAACCTTCTCCAGCCATCGCCACATGTTCCCTGGGGGCCGAACGTCCCTGGTTGAGAAGCTCCACTCCGTCTGGCGCTGATGTCTGTCAGCCACTCCCCGGAGCCACGTTGCCGGGCGAGCATCACTGTGAGCAACCTCGGTAAGTGACCACAGCCCTGACAGTGGGGACTGGGGCGGGGGGGGGGAGGGGGGGAGGAGGCATGTCCCCCGCGGGTGGGCCTGGCGGCCACACCTCGCACCCACAGTGCCTCTGCACAGTTGTGACCTCAAGAGGAAGCGAAGTGGATGGGGGCCACGAGGCCACTTGCATCTATCAGCAGAGAAGAGCCTTCCAAACGAAAACCGCCAGAGCCGCTAGGGAGGGCAGAGCCTCAGCCAAACTCGCCGGTGGGCGCGTGAGCTGCTGCATCAAGGCCACCGCCACCCCACGGGCAGCCACCACCCAACAACACCATTTGGAGTGTCTGTAATCCCATTTCCAAAAACAGTGCCACACACGGGGAAAAGTGCACGTACGAATGTGCTCCTCCACTTTAAAGAAAACCGGAAACAACTCAATTGTCTCATCGTGAGGGAAACTGCTGAGAAGACGTCAACACGTGGCCTAGACACGGGGGCCCCACACCCAGCTGAGTGAGGGCCGCGAAGAGCACGAAGCCGTTATACAAAATGGCATCTATAACTTGACTGGATGGGGAGCCACGGCGGGGGGGACCACATATGTCTGTTACCCCTTCTTTCTACTTCAGAACCTTTCAAACTTTCTCTAAAAGGTATGCATACTAGGGGCGCCCAGGGGGCTCAGTCGGCTGAGCATCTGACCTCAGCTCAGGTTATGATCTCATGGTTCATGGGTTCAGGCCCCGCTGACGCTCAGAGCCTGGAGCCTGTTTCAGATTCTGTGTCTCCCTCTCTCTCTGATGCTCCCCTGCTCGTGCTATCTCTATCTCAAAAATAAACATTAAAAAATGTTTTTAAAAAAGGTACACATTACTCAAAGATTTTTTTTAACAGGTTGTTCTATTTTTTTAAGTTTATTTATCTTGAGAGACAGAAAAGGCACGAGTGGGACAGGAGCAGAAAGGGAGAGAGAATCCCAAGCAGGCTCCATGCTGTCAGCACAGAGCCTGACTCGGGGCCCAAACCCATGAACAGTGAGATGATGACCTGAGCTGAGATCAAGAGTCAAATGCTTAACCGACTGAGCCACCCAGGAGCTCCTAACAGATTGTTCTAAAGGAGAGAAATGCATTCCTTTGAGTCAGCCCACAGGAGGCCCCAGTCAAAAGCAAAACACTGCTGGGTGGGGACCCAGAGAAGCTTAAGAGCAAACCTGAGCTTCCTCAGGTCATGATCTCACAGTTCATGAGTTCAAGCCCTGCACTGACAGTCTGGAGCCTGCTTGGGATTTATCTCTCCGTCTCTCTCTGCTCCTCCCTGGGTTTGCTCAACTCTCTCTCACGCTCTCCCTCTCCCAAAAAATAAACGTTTAAAAAATTAAAAAAAAAAAAAAAAAGAACAGACCTAACCCTGACCCCAGGATTCCAACCCCATGAGACCAGGGCAGGAACAGCTAGGTTGTGGGCAAGGGGCCCAGAGAAGGACCCTTAGGTCTCCCCAGAGAGGGCTCAGGGTGGGGAGCCAGGGGGAGGAGGGAGGAGCCCACCACGGAAGGGCAGGTCGCCAATGGGCTCAGAGGCCCCGTCGCACTCCAAGCCTGTCCTCCCACACCTTTGAAGAGGAAGAGGTGAGGGGCACCGTTAATGGAGGAAAGAGGCGGGGGCTGCAGTGGTGCCTCCTCAGAAGAGAGGTGTGGCTATGCATGCACTTCCCCATGATGCACGGGTCTGAGGGGGGTTTTCCTCTGCAGGCGCCCACCGCCTCTCAGAGACACGACAGCCGTGGAATCCAGTCTCCAGTGCCCCACATCACATGCACTTTTATGTCAACAGCACCCATAACTACACCTGGTTCCCATCTCAGTCTCCTAGTTGAAAACTGTCAGTTAGGCCCCAAAGGGGCACCTGGTGGTCTCAGTCGGTAGAGTGTCTGTCCAACTTCAGCTCAGGTCATGATCTCACGGTTGATGGGTTCAAGTCCTGTATCCAGCTCTGTTCTGACAGCTCAGAGCCTGGAGCTGCTTCGAATTCTGTATCTCCCTCTTTCTCTCCCCCTCCCCTGCTCATGCTTTGTCTATCTCTGTCTTTCAAAAATAAATAAATGTAAAAAAAAAAGAAAAGAAAACTCAGTGGGCACATAAGCCATCGTCCCAGTCAGCTCTCTATAGCTCTGTGCCTAGTAGACCCTGAACCGCTTGGGGCGGTGGGGGAGAGATGGTGGCTGGAAAACGGAGCCCAAAAATGAATCAGGTGAGGTCAGCCTCCCGGGGTTGGGCCCTGGAAGAGCTGCAGGACACTCTCCAGAGCTCGAGCACCACAGAGTGCCAGGGTGTGAGCAGCTGCTGGCCCTGGCACACCTGCAAAGGGGCACACCTGCGAAGGGGACACCTGCGAAGGGGACACTTGAGAAGGGGACACCTGCAAAGGGGACACTTGCGAAGGGCACACCTGCAAGGGGCACAGCTGTGAAGGGGGCACCGTGCGGTGCAGCACTGACCTTCTCCAGCTTCTCGAAGTGCTCCCGCAGGAACTTCATGGGCCTGTCGGGCTTGGAGATGCAGAGGTGGACGATGCAGTCCTTGAGGACCTGCTGAACGCCGTGCTTCTGGACGTACAGCTCACAGCCCTTCAGACTCTCATCTTCCTCCACCGGGCAGGAGGACGGGGACGCCATGGTGGCCTCGCTTCCGGCCTCCTGGGTAGGATAACGCACACCATTGGATATGTGCATCTTATAGACACTGAGGTGCATCGTTGTCAAACCCAACGACCGCCGTGATGGCTAACGTGCCCTGCGCCTGTCACAGATCTTCCCTTTCCAGGGGCTGCTTGAGTCTCACATGGCAGCAAAGCCTCACCTGAAAGATCTCTGTTTGCAGGAGGGTCACCGGGCTCTGCGGCTGAGCAAACACAGGGGCTCCAGAAATCTGCAGGTGGCGGGAGGGGACCCCCAGGGCGAGCACCGACCACCCCTCCCCACTTTGTAGGGACAACTGTGTGAACCAGGGAAATGAAGGGGTGCTGCCACCGGGTCGGAAGAGCCTGCTTTGCAGGAACAGACAGAAAACAAGGAAAACAGTTGAAACCCAGCTGAGGGGCCTTCTGGAAGGATGAAACATGGCGAACAATGGCAGGGCCGCGCATTCTCAGCCCGGCGCTAGGGGGTAAGTCACAATGACGGGTTAGGAAGTGGGGCCCGCGCAGCCCCCACTGCGGGGACCCCAGGAAGGTGCCGAGGCTGTGCCCCCTCCCCAGGCCCCGCGCTCCCCCTCCCCCCGCCTCTGCGCCCCCTCCCCGCCCCATCCCCGCCTCTGCGCCTCCTGCCCCTTCTCCAAGCCCTGCGCCCCCCCCCCCGCGTGCCCCTTCACCAGGCCCCAAGTCCTCGGGCCCCTGCATCTCTTCCCCAGTCCCGGCGCCCCCACCCTGAGCCCCCAGCCTGCGCGCCCCTCACGACTGCGCTGCGGGCCCAGGTTCGGGCAAGGGGGCGGGGGCTCCCCAAGGCTCACATTTCCCAGGGCCCCGTGGCCGGCGCAGCCCACCCCTCAGCCCGCGCAGGCCGTGGGTCCCGCTGCAGACCCCATCCCAGCCCCGCGTACCTGCATGCGCGGCGCCCGAAGCCCGAGACAACTGCTCACGGACGCGGGGAAGCCGAGGAAGCCGGGACCGCGGGCGAGCGGGTCCCGCACTGCAGCGGCGCCGCCCTCCGCCCGCCCCCGCGCCGCGACGACCCGCCCCCGGCACCCGGCAGGCCCCCTCCCCTCCCGCCTGCCCCCCACCTAGTCTACTTCCGGCACCTCAGCGTCCCTCCGTCCGCCCAAGACAGACCTCTCCCGGCAGATGTCCCCTCGCCCCTAGCTTACCCCTGCACCCCTCCTCCTCCCTCTCCCCGTCTTGGCCTTGGCCTAGGCTGGGCAGGCTTCAAGTTGGGCAAACCCACAGATATTCATGCACTGGCCTACCGGGACCACCACCACCACTGCCCTCCACCGCCCACCTCCTACACCTCCTCTCCCCCCTCTCCTGCAGACCACGTGATTGTGCACCCTGGCTGGCTGCTGCTGATGCGGTCTCAGGGTACTGGTGGGGCTCCCCCACTGCTAACACCTGGAATGTTCCATCTACAGCCTGCAGTGCACCCATTCTCGGGCTCAAAGACCCCAAGTCAGGGCCAGAGAGGGGTCCAGACGGGCCCAGACCACCCCAGGGAGAGGTGAGCTGATTTCCTTCAGATGCCCCAGTGGGAAGTCAGGGGTTCATCCTAAATTCTTCCCACCATCCTCCAGTGCCCGCGAGGTCACCGAGGCCTGCAGAGTCCCCCAGGGACGTCCTAATCTACAAGCCCAGACCTGCAGGAAAGGGAACTCTCGTTATTTTCCTGTTCTCTGTCATCATGCTTTGCCCCCATTCTGGCTTGGTGGTGGCAGAGACTCAGTCGGCAGGGGGACCCCACCCTTGCCACAGAATGGTCTAGCTACCAGGAGATGGCACAGGGAACCCGGGCCCTGAAGGGGAAGCTTTGTGCCCACCTCTCCCACACTGCACTGTCCACATTCACCTGTCCCTGAGCACCTGTCTACAGAAGCACACCACAGCTTGCTGGCCTTACCCACATGCTCCTCAAGGAGGGCTGACCCTGGCCCCCAGGAAGGTAAAGGAATGGGTCACAGTCAGGTGGACCAGCTAGGGGCTCCTTTCTGCTTCCCCAGACCCTGCCCTCAATGTGGGGCGAGGTCAGAGGTCATCCGGGCAGCCACTGGACAATCAGTAGCCAGTGCGCTTACGTGAGGACAGTGGGACTGTCCCTCACAGACCTGGGCTGTGGAACCATGAGCACAACGCTGGCGGTCCCAGGTAGGTCACCTCCCTGCTGGGCAGTGACAAAGCCTGGCTTCTCTTGGGTGTCCAAGCTGCCGCAGCCTTCCACAGAAAGCATAGGGCTGGTGTCAGGGTGCCCCTTCACCAGTACATTTTGGTTGTCTGAGACCGTCCCCTCCACCCACGGGGAGGCCCCCACTCCTTGCTCACCCCTACTGCATTCCCCAGCAGATGTTATTGACAATCCCCAGCTCTGAGGGGGTCTTTATTTTACCCCTAGAACCTGGGTGATCAAGCCTCGCAGAGACCCAACCTCAGAGCACATTCTTGCCCAGGCACCACCCACCCCGCCCCAGGCTCTGCCAGCTCGTTTCTCCTCCAAGATTCCCCTGGAGAGTTTCTCCCGCAGGAAAACTTCCCTGTGGCGGTGCACCTGTGGAGGAGGTAGGCACCCGTTGGGGCAACCGGGCTGCCCTTGTGGCGGGTGCTGCAGAATACCTACATGGTCTGTTTGCTAAACGCTGAGCCCCGAGCAGCACAGGTGCTGTCTGTTCTATTTGGTCTGCAGGGCAGGGACACACGCACGTTCTCTGGGGCACACGAGGGAAGAGTCCTTGTGCAACCCCAGCCTCTGGAGAGGTGGCAGGCACCGTGCTCTGACTTCCTGGCAGGCGTGGTGCCCTGGGCAGCAGCCCTCAGGGCGGAGGCAGCGGCTGACCGGGCTCGCTGTGGGACAGCCTTCCTGCAAGAGGCCATACACCTCAAACAGGTGGATGTTACTCAAGTGCAGCCTTTAGGTGAGGAGCTGGGACGGAGGTAGAGTGTGCCGGGAGCAGCAGGGGTCCAGTGACCGTGACCCCCAGTGGTTATTATTCCTAGGGCCATGGCCGTTCCTTGGGGAGGGCTCTAAGTCCTGTCCTGAGCACACTCAGGGGCCCTGCAGGGATGCAGAACACAGGGCCACTGGGGAAGAGGGGGTGAAGAGGAGAGGAGGGAAGCATCCCCCAAACCCTGTGCTTCTGAAGAAGCTGCAGTCAGTGAGTGAGATTCCTTGGAGAGGAGGCAGCAGGAGGCTGTTGTAAGAACTGCATTCTCTTGGGGCGCCTGGGTGGCTTAGTCGGTTAAGCGTCCGACTTTCGCTTAGGTCATGATCTCGAGGTTAGTGGGTTAGAGCCCCGCGTCAGGCTCTGTGCTGACAGCCAGCTCAGAGCCTGGAGCCTGTTTCAGAGTCTGTAACTCCCTCTCTCTCTGACCCTCCCCTGCTCACGCTGTCTCTCTCTCTCTCTCCTAGAAATAAATAAATAAAAAGAAAAAAAAAAAAGAATAGCGTTCTCAAGTTTTCAGCTTTTCTTTCTTTTTTTATCATTATGTTTATTTATCTTTGAGAGAGGAGGAGGGAGAGAGAGCACGCACAAGCGGGGGAGGGGCAGAGAGAGAGAGAAGACAAAGAATCCAAAGCAGCTCCAGGCTCTGAGCCCGACGTGGAGCTCGAACTCAGGAACCACAAGATCATAACCTGAGCCAAAGTCGGATGCTTAACTGACTGCTTTTAAATGGTTCACCAGGTGGGTCTGGAATACAAAACTTCCTACCAGTTTTGTCACATGTCTGTGAGGTCTGATCACCTGTGCTCCCTGGGGTGACCCCGTGTGACAGCCCACACTTGGAAGCAGACACCCCCTGGGGCCTCCAATGAGAACCCAGACCCCTGACCCACAGAGCCTGGGGAAAGTCAGGTGTGCCATTCAGTCACTGCATTTGAGGGGACCCTTACGCAGGTGGTGACAGCTGAGTCACGGGTTGGGGGGGTCCAGGGAGAAGAGGCCCAGCTTCACATCCAGGTCGGCACTGGATGAGAACACAGCCGGAGGGGCACCTCCAAACTCCTGTTCAGATCCTAACCCCCAGCGTGCAGTGCTGGGTCCTGGATGGGGCCCTCACGGCGGGATCAGTGCCCTCACCAAAGAGACCACGGAGCATGCCCTCGCCCCCGCGGCCGAGTGAGGATGTGGTGACCAGGCAGCTAGCAGCAGTCTGGCTGGAGCCACATTGGTTTCTTCTTCCCCACATCCAGCCTCCAGAGCCGCAAGGAATTGGTGTCCGCTGTTTACAAGCCCCCCCCCCCCAGCCCCAAGGGTGTTTGTTGTAGCAGCCTGTGCAGCCTCAGGGAGCAGGAACATCTAGCAAAGCATATGGGAGAATACAGCGCAAAGACTTAAATATGAAGGTGGCGCAGGAATGAACAAGCATTAAGGGATCAGAACAAAAAATCCAGAAATAAACCCCAGCCAATATTTAAGGGATTCTGCACGTGATGAAGGCAGCATTGCATATTTGTGGGGATGACAAGGACTTAGTAATCAGTTTGGGGAGAAGTAAAGTCAATCGGGAAAAAATTAGGTTGGTTCTCAGTGTACCTCTTTGTACAGATGAACTTCAGACGGGTCAGAGATGTGAACATACAAGGAACAGAAGGAACGTTGGGAAATGTCTTTTCATCTCCGGACACAGGAGGCCTTTCTCTTTTTTTAATGTTTATTTTTTATTTTTGAGAGGGAGAAAAAGAGCATGAGTGAGGGAGAGGGAGAGAGAGAGAGAGAGAGAGAGAGAGTAGAGGAGGGGCTGAGAGAGGGAGACAGAAGATCCGAAGCAGCTCTAGGCTCTGAGGTGTCAGCACAGAGCCCCACGTGGGGCTTGAAACCACGAACCGTGAGATCATGTCCTGAGCCGAAGTCGGGTGCTCAAGTGACTGTGCCATCCAGGCATCCTGTCACAGGAGACCTTTCTAATCATTCGACATCCAGGAGCCATAAATAGGAAAGTGGATAAATTCAACTCTGTAAAAATGAACACTTTGTGCATAAGAAACCCTCGCACATTTGGAATAAAAACAAAATAAGCAATAAATTCATGGTACCCGTCACAAGGCTGATTTCCTCTGCACGAAGACGCCCAGGCAGAGTAAAAGCACACAGCCCTCGTCGGGCTCGCACAGGTCCTGCCATCCGGCCATCCTGGGCAGGGGTGCCTGGGAAATGGGCCCTGGGGGTGTTTAGAGGGGCCTCTGTGCACACCCGTGTGGAAAATCTCTATCAAAAACTAAAACACACAGATCCCAGCCGTTCTACTTCACTAATTTGATCAAAAATCAATACTGCAGTGACGATCCTGACTGGTGCGTCTTCCTGCATGTGGGAAAATGTACACCTTCCCGGGTGACGGGACGAGAGTGAGAGGGAGAGCCGTGCCCACCGACAGGGTCTGATGGAATGTCCGGCGGCAAGTCGGGCAGCAGACGTCATCCAACTGTTCAGAAGCACGTGGCAGCTCTGCGCGAGCGAACACTAACGCCTCCCCACAGGGTGTTTGTAGGTGGAAATCTACACCACGGTATGAAACCTGGCACGCGCACTGCCGTCTGAGAGGTGATCATGCACGTCGGCACGTGCGAATTCAGGGACGGCGCCTCCAGAGGGACACTGATGGACAAAGGTGGCCTCTGAGGGGAAGTAGGGTAGGGGCCCTGCTGTAAACTGTGTCCTTGAGTACCGTTCGAATTGTGCACCAAATGCATGTATTAACTATCCAAAAGTAATTAATTTTCTTTATATTAAATGTTTAAAATCTTCCTGGAAAGACAGGGAATTCAAAACACCCATTATTCTCACTTTTTCCACAAACCATATTAAAATCACAATAAAGAGATTTTTTTAATCATTTAATTTTTTTTTAATGTTTTATTTATTTCTGAGAGAGAGAGAGAGAGAGAGAGATAGCAGGGGAGGGTCAGAGAGGGAGACATAGAATCTGAAGCAGGCTCCAGGCTCTGAACTGGCTGTCAGCACAGAGCCTGACGCAGGGCTCGAACCCACAAACCATGAGATCA